GACTTCCACATACTTGCAAATGTATCCAGCTGAGACCTCTATTAGAATGTCAGAAATAGGTTTAATGAGGTCCTTTTCCCGTGTATTAGGGCTGAGTGCTGGGGAATTCACATGTAATGAACTGCCCCTCCCACATACAAGTCCCTTGCTAGTCATAAATTAATTGAGCTGCCTGACATTTATTCTTTAAGAGGTATAGCAGGAAACCTTGTCTCATGCTATTACCGAGACCTCATAATGGAAAATCCCTGCACTTACAGAGATTTACTGCCGAAAGGGTTCCCATACTATGTTCACTATCTACCAATGCACCTTAGAAAAGCAGCACACCTAAACAAAACTAGCTTAATTCATAATTGCCATATGTGGTCTATAAAAGCAGCCCAATGCTGCCCCCTGCAGGGGAAACCATCAATAACAAGCATAAGTCTTTCAACGTTCTAAATACTAAAGCCACAAGCTCACTAGTCTAGAGAGGAGTCTGGGCTTGGTGTGAACCCAGATCACACAAGCTTACTCAAAACTGTGACTGCCGCTCCCCCCTCCTGGCCCAAACAGTGGCAGCAGTTGCAGATATACATCGCGTTGGGGCAGGGAATGCCCCGACCGCAACTGCTGCCACTGTTTGGGCCAGGAGGGGGAAGTGGCAGTCACACTTTTAGGCAGGCCTATGTGATCTGGGTTCGCACCAAGCCCAGAAATCTCTAGACAAGTGAGCATGTGCCTCTCTGTAACAGATTGGGTTGGGAGAAGGCGGTGGAACTCACAATTTTGTGGAAACTTGGGCAAACAGAGTCAAACTGTGTTCGCACCAGGCCCAGCTTCATTACTCTGATTGACACTGGAAAAGTAGTAGAATTATGTGCAGTGTTAAGGTGCCCATACACCTTACGATTATCGGACGAAACTTTTCGTCCGATGATCGAATAGTCGTACGATTTTCGTACGGCAGCCCCATCCTGCCTCGATGAACGCAAGATTAATATAGCCGTAATTAACGAAAAGCACCTGGACGAAATGCGGTAATTGATTTGCCGTATTTTCGTTAGCGCAAGCGCAGTGTAGATCGTACCACTTTTGACGGACGGAAACGCCACCAACCTTACAACAATCGTACGATCTAGCAAAGTTTTCAAACATGCTTGACCGTCAAAAGTCGTACGATTGTACAGTACTATCGGTCGGACACTGCAATGCACACATGCGATTATCGGCCGAAAAGTCCATCGCATACGAAAATCGTCCGATAATCGTAAGGTGTATGGGCACCTTTACTCACTGACACAATCACGATCAACGTTGACAGCACACAGATTTCTTACACTGCAATCATATTTATTTAGCTTACGTTAACTATTAATTTTATCAATGGCCCAACAATTCTGGACCGATGTTTACACAAAATTATCACATTTTGATGAACTGTAATAGATTATTATCAAAATCATAAACCCAGAATATGCCAGAAAAAAGGGAGGTGCGGTACCATTCATCTCCCAAACCACAATGTTTTTAACCACTTGAAGACCATGGTGTTTCACCCCCTTCCTGGCCAGGCCATTTTTCAGTATTCAGCGCTGCGGTACTTTGACTGACGTTTATTCCGTCATGCAACGCTGTACTGATACGAATTTCATACCATTTTTTGGGGACAGATAGAGCTTTCTTTTGGTGGTATTTATTCACCACTGGGGTTTTTATTTTTTACTATATAGCAAAAAAAGTACCCTAAATTTTGAAAAAAAACATGTTTCCCTAAAAAAGGTTATGAAACATTTATTATCACCCCAATTTTTTGGTACAATATAAAAGATGGGGTCACGTTGGGTAAATAGACACTAACCAAAATTGGCCATAGGCAACGCTTTAAATGTTTTTACCGCTCATCAGTTTAGTGTTATCAGTGATTGATGGCCCTAAAATTATTGCTCTCATTGCGACGTTCGCGGCGATATGCAACATGTGCTGCATAATGGGTGCAATCGTCGTTTTCGTACATAGGCGCACCCGACGCATGTTTGCGTGTGTATGTGGGGGGGAAGGGCGGGGGACTTTAAAACATTTTTTGTGTTATTTTTTTCTATTATTATTTGTGAATATTTTTTAAGCTTCTTTTATTTTTAATTTTTTTGTTTTTTTAGACTTAACTTTATTGCTATAACATAGGGGACTAAGAAATCCCCTATGTAATAGCCAGTTCACCAAACAGGTCCTCTTTATGGAGAGATCAGGGGTCTCAAAGACCTCTGATGTCACCTAGGGACCCACAGAGAAACTGATAAAGCAGAGATCTGCTTCATCAGCTTCTCTCCGGTGTTCTGCACTGACACAGTGACACTGAATGCAGGAAGTGATGTAATATACATCACTTCCTGCATTCGGGTACAGGAAAAGAGATCAAAGTGAGATCGAGTAATGATCTCCATTTGATCTGCTGTTAGAGCGTCGCCGTGCCGGTCTCAGCCGCACCGGCCACAGCGGATTACGGGACCGGCAGCGGCAGCGAGGAGACGGCGGGACATAGGTACGGGGAGGGGGGGGTGCACACCTGCAGCTCCTGCAAGTGATCGGGCGTCTAGAGACGCCCGATCGCTTGTATGTAAACAGCCATCGCTGGCTGTTTACATGCTCACAGTTTTCCCTCTCCTGTGCGCGCTGAGCGCCGCACACGAGAGGGGCAGGACGTCCTAGCAGACTCCCGTCCGGCCGTTCACAAACGGCCATGGACGGAAGGTGGTTAAAAGCAGAAAAGGAATTTGAATGCAGTTTTAATCTGTTACATTGAGATCTTTCAGGTAAGATGTATGTCATACATGTTATCTTTAGATTTTGCTAAAATAATTATATTGTGTGAAAGAAAAGTTACACTTGTGGCCAGCAGCGCATTATTCTGAGGCTGACTAGAGGCTTTACCTATGTCAAGGATGTCTTCAAAGCTTTTAATTTTGACCCCCTCTGTTGGCTAATTAAATGTGTCACATCAACACTGTTTAAATGTAGGCTTGTTTTCCGCAGTGCTGCACCTTGATGGCAAAGCGCTACAACCCAAATCCTGGCAGACCCCTTTCTCTGACCGTACAACGTAGATAAGAATAACTGCCAGGGATAAGACAAAACTATGTCTGGGACTAACTGGCGGGTACTAGGAAAACTACCTAAGAAAATAAATGAGGACCACATGCCTGGGTCCCAAAAACACCTACCTGTTCGAGTTTTGCTGTTGGTGAGAATCTCCTGCAGCCGTTCCTGAAGCTTATCTGCTCGCTTCCTCTCCAAGTGAAGCTGCCGCTTCAGGTCCTTAAGCTGTGAAGAACAGTACAAAATAATCTGTATATAAGGAGAAGTGAACAGGTCATTGTGTCATGATAGGGAGAGGTCAGTGTATCCGGATGTCTGTGTATTAGGAGGAGAGGAGAGGTCAGTGTATCCTGATGTCTGTGTATTAGGAGGAGAGGAGAGGTCAGCGTATCCTGATGTCTATCCTGATGTCTGTGTATTAGGAGGAGAGGTCAGTGTATCCTGATGTCTGTGTATTAGGAGGAGAGGAGAGGTCAGTGTATCCTGATGTCTGTGAATTAGGAGAAGGAGAGGTCAGTGTGTGCCTGATATCTGTGTATTAGAAGGGGAGAGGTAATTATAGCCTGATGTCTGTGCACTAGAAGGAGGGCAAAAAACCTGAGGTCTGTATATGAACAGAGTGTGTATTATATAAAGACCATTACTTACAGCAGCACTCCCTCTCTTCTCCAGGATTCTCTGCCCATCGGCTGTATCCTTTACCTCCTAATAATTCAAGTAATCTCAAGTTACTTATCAGTAGAATGGTCTGTATGGAAACATCACAATACTGTGTACAACAAGCTCTTTCAATATTTCAAAAAAAAGTGCTGTGGCACGTGAAAGCAGCTCTGAAGAAGATTGGAAGAGATATAGAATAGATATCACAGGACAGTAAGCTCACACTCATGGTCACGGAGAGGTCTCACCTGTCTCAGCTGTTCAATTGTCCCATTAAGACTATCTTTCTCTTTTCCAAATGCCTTGATTTGTTCCATCAGGGAGTCCATCTCATTCTGCTTCATCTGAAGAGAATTAAAACAGAATAATTTTAAGATTGAGCACCTCTGATACGTCAGTTATTTCAGACAAAAATAAATAATCGCTTATAAAACATGGTCACATTTGCCTATGGAACACATATTTGTTTAATAGCTTGCTGCCACCGTGCCGCTTATATTCCCTTTCCGTTTGGTTGATTTTAAAGCGTGAATAAATCCAGCTCAGAGGTCTTGCACACTTTATACTCTAAGCTAAGTATATAAAATCCCAAATCAAGTGTTTAAGAATTTTCCCAGACTGCCACTAAAGGTGAATAAAGTCATTAGAAAATTCTTATCTGAATCCGCTTGCTTCAGTATTGAAAGACATTTAGCCAGTTGTGTACCTCTAGCTACAAAGGCATCCTTGGCTAGCTGTCTCCAGGTAAATGGCTATAATTTAAGTTGACATTTTCACCTACCACTCTGTTATTAGACAAAGACAGGAACAAAGGATGACATGCAGCTCATCAACTTATAATTATTAATGGAAGTGCATGTGGGAGAGACATTTCACTGCAAGTTGATAATACAAGTATCCCAGCACTCAGTCCTGCTGGCTAAAGGTGGCCATACACTTTACAACCATCGCAAGACCTTAGTCTTGCGATGGTTGTAAAGTAATTAAAAAAATGTACGATCTGCCCATCTTGGACAGGCAGATCGTACTCTCGATCATCGCAAGCCCTCCCCCCTGAGGGGCGGGCTTCCGCTGACCGCAATGCTGAACGGGCAGTGTGCGCGTGCGCACACCGGCCCGTTCGGCATTTGTCTCCCGAGCACCGTTCAAACCAGCCAAAAATCGTACGATTTTCGGCTGGTTTTCTAGCGTGCTCCTTAGACAAAAGACGTGCGACCGTACAGTAGAAATGGTCGCACGTCTTCATTCACACTGCTCGATTCTCGTACGATCGCAGGATTTCCCGCGATTCTCGTACGAGAATCGAGCAGTGTATGGGCACCTTAAGAAAGGGAAACCAGCAACAAAAAAAACCTGCCAAGCATAAGTTTCAATATTAAACGTACATCCAGATCAGCAGAATGCTCCTCTCGTAGTTTTCCCAAGTCTTCCTTGTGTTGCAGCTGGTTCCTTTCAACAGTTTCCTGAAACAAGTCTCAAGATTAGAAAGGGAAGACAAATTGACCCAGATGCAATTAAACAGACAGGACTGGTGACATTGATAACACAGGGATAACCCCACACTCACTTCTGCCTCCTTTAGTCGACGTTCAAACCATCCTTTGGTGCCCTCTAGTGAACCAATCTGTAAACGCAGCTCCTCTGTAGTCTGCTGTAAGCCTTCCAACTCCCTGCAGCGTGCCTGAGGATACAGAACAGATTATAGCTGCATGCAAAAGTCTTGAACAGAAAATTAGAGCCTTTCAGCCAACGAGAAGTTGAAGTATTGCAACAAACCTCATGGGGGGCAGATAAATAGCATCATATAGACACTGTCTGATGTTATAACCAGCCTAATTGTCTCTATCACAGCTGCAGCTGCCAAAACAACCCATTAACAGTCTGTCCTTATAATCAACCTTAGTCTTGCGATGGTTGTAAAGTAATTAAAAAAATGTACGATCTGCCCATCTTGGACAGGCAGATCGTACTCTCGATCATCGCAAGCCCTCCCCCCTGAGGGGCGGGCTTCCGCTGACCGCAATGCTGAACGGGCAGTGTGCGCGTGCGCACACCGGCCCGTTCGGCATTTGTCTCCCGAGCACCGTTCAAACCAGCCAAAAATCGTACGATTTTCGGCTGGTTTTCTAGCGTGCTCCTTAGACAAAAGACGTGCGACCGTACAGTAGAAATGGTCGCACGTCTTCATTCACACTGCTCGATTCTCGTACGATCGCAGGATTTCCCGCGATTCTCGTACGAGAATCGAGCAGTGTATGGGCACCTTAAGAAAGGGAAACCAGCAACAAAAAAAACCTGCCAAGCATAAGTTTCAATATTAAACGTACATCCAGATCAGCAGAATGCTCCTCTCGTAGTTTTCCCAAGTCTTCCTTGTGTTGCAGCTGGTTCCTTTCAACAGTTTCCTGAAACAAGTCTCAAGATTAGAAAGGGAAGACAAATTGACCCAGATGCAATTAAACAGACAGGACTGGTGACATTGATAACACAGGGATAACCCCACACTCACTTCTGCCTCCTTTAGTCGACGTTCAAACCATCCTTTGGTGCCCTCTAGTGAACCAATCTGTAAACGCAGCTCCTCTGTAGTCTGCTGTAAGCCTTCCAACTCCCTGCAGCGTGCCTGAGGATACAGAACAGATTATAGCTGCATGCAAAAGTCTTGAACAGAAAATTAGAGCCTTTCAGCCAACGAGAAGTTGAAGTATTGCAACAAACCTCATGGGGGGCAGATAAATAGCATCATATAGACACTGTCTGATGTTATAACCAGCCTAATTGTCTCTATCACAGCTGCAGCTGCCAAAACAACCCATTAACAGTCTGTCCTTATAATCAGTGTACAAATACTCTTCTTTTTTTCATTTTAGCTGTTTGTGGAAAGCCAGCACATCACCCAATTTCTGCTATATGGATTTCCAGAATTTCACTATATTAACAGGCAGGTCCTCTGGTTATGATCAGCAAAGAACGATAAGGGAAGCTATGATGTATTTTCAATGATACAACGATCGAGCCATTAAATTGACACTAAACTTAGGAGATAAACCTTAAAAATGCATTCACGTAGCCTAAGGCTGGGTTCACACCTAGGCGTATTGAATATGCGAGTTTCGCTGTAAAACAAATCGCGCGTTTACGAGGGCTACCTGGTTGTATCCCAATGGATACGCGCGGCAAATACGCCCCAAAGAAGCTCTCGTACTTCATTGGGCGTAGGGCGTTTTGTAGCGCGTTCATACGGCCTGTAATACGCCCAGGTGTGAACCATACCCATAGGAAATAATGGGATTTCGGTGTTTGAGCGTTTTGCAGAGCGTAGAAACGCGCTACAAAACGCCCAGGTGTGAACCAGGCCTAACTACTAACAAAAATGACACTTATCTGTGTATCACTCGGCTGTAGATCCTCAAATCATCTCTGAATTGGTGCTGACACTGTCCTTCCTTCTGGAGGGTGGCTACTTTTGTTCCCCATGGTCCCTGTGTGTGTTGTAAAGTAGTCACCGCTCCAAGCTCACTCCCATGATGGACTACAATCTCCATACAAATTAGTAAACTAAACGTGAGATTGAAGTCTATCATGGGAGTGAGCATGGAATAGTGACTACTTTACAACACACACAAGGACCATGGAGAACAAAAGTAGTCACACTCCAGAAGGAAGGACAGTGTCAGCACCAATTCAGAGATGATTTCAGGATCTGCAGCTGAGTGATACACAAATAAGCTACATTTTTGTTAATAGTTATTCACACCCTCTGCATTGGAGCTGCTCTTGCCGTAGTTCCAGCGCAGACCCAACGCAAGACAAGGCAATTTGCCTTGTGACAGATGGTGTGCTTTACACTACAGTGTTGCGGTAGGAACGCAGTGGTGTGCACTCAAAACCTTACTTGTTTTCAACGGAGCAAGATGCGACGCAGTACAACCTCTTAGCACCCCGCTGCACCCATAGAGCTGAATGAAATGTTGCTTGTGACATTTCTTTAAAGTTCTAACAAAAAAAGTACACAGTACAATGCGCTGGGATCAGCGATTCGGCATTGTGCTGGGGCAAAGCACACCAGCCGATGTGCGATTAGCGCAGCGTCTGGTGTTAATGGGCCCTTAAGGTACTTGAATGCATTTTTTAAGACTTAACTCCTAAGTTTTGTGTCACTTTAACATGAAATTTCTCAAAAAAATGCATTTTGGAAATTTAAATCCAACAAATTCTGGCCTTAATGTTCCAACATTTCATGAGAGATTTGTTGATTTTAAATTTAGATATTTACTTCATTATTGGAGACACTTTAGTCAGCACATTAAAAAATATCTGATGAGATTTAAAAAATGACCCGCCAAGCCATCTTGATGTCTTGTTTTTACTCAGTCAGAATATACGGATATTCTTGCAAAGAGAGGAAGCATAAAACCGCAATAACTGCGCTAATTTACAATCAGCGTGAAGAACAGCTTATGTAGACAGCAAGCATAAACAGCTGTCCCCATGGACACATAGAAGTGCAATCTATAAAAAGAAGTTGTGTAACATGGATCTCAACCTATTCCAAAACAAATGCCAACCATTTACTTATATGTTCCTGCTGACAGAGCCTGATTTGGAGAAACTGCTAGTTTTTTTTTATTTAATTCTTTCTTTTACATTTCTGTTTCCTGAAAGAACTATTTTACATCCAGTAGTCGCTAGGCACTCTACATACAATAAGGCATTCTGGGTAGAATTTATAGCCAGATGCAATATAAAATTAAGCAATAGAGACCTTGTTATCTTGCAGTGTGCGTTAAGCACTTTTCTCTCTTCTGGTAAGCTGTAGTGCTTCATCAGCATTAAACATGCCTCCAACCAAACCTAAGTAAGATGTGCGCATGTTTGAGTTAAAAAAAAAACCTGACATACATGTCCAGAAAAAGGTTGATGTGCTGGGATCACCAGATATATACTGAAAATCCATTAAAAAGTATTGTATGGAGCCATAACAGAGAGTTGCATGTGCCTTTATTTGTAAATGTCCCCACTGCCTCTCTGGGGGCATATTTTTGAAGCAGCAAAGAGTCAATTCTCCAATCATTCTCCCACTATCTGATTGCAAAACACTCTTCAAAAGGATCATTTTATTTTTAAAGAGCCTTCACTCTTCATAGTTGGCCAGTTGGGTAATATTCACCGCTTTCTGCCAACACCTGGGTTTCTCTATTTTCAATGGGAGATCCAGGTCTACATATGCTGTATCTACAATACACTCCACGTAACATTCACTGGCGCCAAATGTCTAGAAACATTCACTGTTTTGAAGAGCAAATCTTTGATGTCATCAACAGTTTTTTCTACCGATTTCTACACAGATCCATCCCAATCACCTCTGCATGTGGCTGCAAATTCAATGCAATACAATATGAGGAATTAGCCTAAGATCTTAGTTTTCATACTCTAGCATTAGCACTTTCCACCTGCCACAAAATCACATTATAGCAAAACTCACTCTCGTGGCCAGCAAATGTGCTTAAATCCGGGCAAATGAAAGCAAATTCTTCTATTTTTATAAATGTGATAAATATTCCTCCTTGATTCTGCCCTTATCAGAAATTCCAAATCTATTCATCAAAGATCAGTCAGTTTATAAAAGTGGAGTGTTTGCCCTTAAAGTGAACCTGTGCTTTGTCCATGCAGTTCAAAGCAACAGGTTCTATTTAATTTCCCCCTTCCTAGCAGCACCTTCCATTCATTCTCCTGCTGCTCCATTCTTTCACCAGAAGCAAGGAAGAAGCCCCATTTATGATACGAGCTTCACTAGCTGGAGCTTTCACAGACCTAGGACGCTCTCTCTGTCACCTTGTGACAGTGCTGGGCCAATCACCAAGCATCAGCGCTGCGTAAATTGTCAGCGCTATATAAATACCTGTAATAAATAAAATAAATAAATAACACACATTAATAATAAAATAGATTTTACTATTATTGGATGTGATCGACCTTCTGTCACTGAAGTCTTGACAACCTTACCTTCTCATCTCTCAGCTGTCCTCTTAGGTCCTCCTCTCCACGGTTCTTCTCTTCATGAAGCTCCCTCAGCTCCTTCTCATATTTGGCTCGAATACTCAGCACCTCTTTCTCATGCTGGAGCTTGATATTTCCCACCACTTCCTTGTGCCGAGCCTTCTCCTGCTGCATCTCAATAGCCATCTCATCCAGCATGCCTTTTCGCTTGTCAGCACACTGCAGAAAATGGGAAGCTAGGTTAGCCAAGATAGAGAGCAGGCTAAGAAAACTATTAAAAAGAAAAGGAAATACATATTTTTAATCTTTTTTCTTCTTTCCACTGTAAAATATAGGTAACAGTGTTAAGCTTGCCATACATTTTTTTATTGCATGTGGTATTTATAATGTCTGTTTAAATTCAGTTATTTTCTATGTACGTACAGGCTGCCATATTTGATCTTAGTTGATGCAGGCACTCCTTCCTGTTAGTACTGCTCATAATTGTGCTTACTGTTACTTTGTCAGTTTGATCAGACAGCTTGAAAACAAACAATGTCTAAGTGGTTTATCATGCACTATGTAACAATGAAAATGTTAAACATCAAAATAAGTATACATATAACACTTAAATACTGGCTGCTTGTTTTATACGTTTTTGAGTTTCCTAGCGCATAGGGTTATTTATATTGGTTTATCATGCAGCAGGTTTTCATTGCTTTCATCAAGGACGCTAACAGCAACGACTACCTTGTGCACTCATTGAAAAATACAAAGGTTCCTTTTAGGGACTCCATACCTTTCTAGCTTCATCCAGATCCTGCTGTAGCTGCTGAATTTCCTGTTTCTGCTCCTGCAGCTGCTCCAGGAGACGGCCATGTGCCCGGTTGGCCTCCTGTTGAGAGGGAACATAGTTAGAGAATGTTTATTGTACACATAATCAATGTTAAAGCTGAACACCAGAACAACAGCAAAATGCATCCCTAAATACACCTAGGAAAACTGTTCTGCTTGCCAAGAAATTTGTAATTCTATTCATGCAAGTACCCCTGCTAGAGAGCAAAGCCAGAACAAGGATACACCAGCAGCTTGCTGATTGAACGTATCGTGTCTGCATGTTCCTTGTCAGTACATCAGTTTAATAAAAGTCTACTGAATTTAGCATTTAATAAACAGACACTACTTTGTGAACTAGAATCAAGTTTTAATTCTCCAGGGTTAGGAGGGCTCCATGCTATGGATGGCTCCACCCAGTAACTGATTTCACACTAAGATGCTGACTGGTTCAATATCCCAAATGCCAGAACCCGAAGCTCACAAATTGGGCTAGCAATGGGACTTATACTTTCACAGCTGAGGCTGTCCAGACTACAGCAACAAGCATAAAGCAAGCTTTAAAAACACATTATTCTGATCAAACTATGTCCTACCTGCAGTTGTGTTTTCAAATCATCCTTTTGCTGCAGTAAAGCCTCCTTGTCATTTTGCTGCTGCTGGAGCTCCGCTGTCAGTGCTGCATTCTGGTCCCGCAGTAAACTCAGCTCCTGAGTCCTCGATGTTTGAATCTGCGCATTGAGAAAAAAAACTTCATAACTGGTAATTGCTGATTTCCCACGGCGTCATTTATGAGAGACAAAACAAGGCAAAGCAGAGACTGCTTATCACAGTTAGGCCCCATTCACACCAGTGCTTTATGTAATAACCATCTACATTTTAAATATTTTTTACTCTTCACAAGACGTCTATTCACACGGTTTTCACATGCAGCCCACCCCAATAAAAGCACTGCATGCTGTAGTTTAACTTTGTTACTATATTTCAAAATACAATGGGGGGAATTTATCAAAGCACCTACCACAGTTTTAGCCTCTTAGATCATTTTTTTTAATGTGCAAATCTGTCTTTCAACATGTGCCCCTATTTTCACCTGAGCTTGCACTACTTTTCCAACTGCATGTGCTTTGCACCTGTTTTCTTCAGAGCTTGCACTACTTTTTCAACTGCATGTTTTTTGCACGTGTTTTGCAACTGTTTTCTTCAGAGCTTGCACTACTTTTTCAGTTGCATGTTTTTTGCACGTGTTTTCATCTGCACTTTCTGGGGCTGTCTGAAACTGGAGCATCACCTAAGAAAACAATCACAACTTGAGAAGTCCCCATGACCACTTCTTCAAGATGGGACAGTTAAGCCTTTTGCCTGGAGTTACAAGTCTTCTTTCCTGGAGTCTATTAAACCTCATTTATCGACAACATTACCCTAGCATCATAAATCTGGTGCAAATATATTCCGTGCAAGTTCAAACACTCGCATTTGCTATGATAAATTCCCCCCAATATGTGCACGGATACACCCTAAAGTGTATCTATAACTAAACATTTCTTTTTAGTTTGGATAGTATGGAAAGGTTTAGAATCCAGTTAGGTCATAATTTATTTGCTATCTGTGAGAACTCCTCTCCTTGTCCTGGTGTCCACTGTCACAGGGACAGAAAGTGATAAGAAATCAGAAATATTACACTTGTCACGAAATAGGAATGGAGAAAAGATGACGCTGACAATTTCCAGATTAATTTCTCTCACTTTGGAGAGATTTCTTTTGACTTTCTGTTGTGTTTCCAGGACAGGAAGGGAAATATATCTACTGGAGCACATATAGCAAATAAAAAACTCTTTCAGAGGTTGTCACCCTTCCTTACTTAATCCTAAAATGAATCCAAAAAAAACCTAATAATTGTGCTTTTATGTGCTTTTGAGTGGAGGTCAAAAGATAATTTTCTGTGAATGTCCTGGTATTCTTGAAAACATAAAAAAAAAAAAAAAAAAAGCAGAGACTGCTTATCACAGTTAGGCCCCATTCACACCAGTGCTTTATGTAATAACCATCTACATTTTAAATATTTTTTACTCTTCACAAGACGTCTATTCACACGGTTTTCACATGCAGCCCACCCCAATAAAAGCACTGCATGCTGTAGTTTAACTTTGTTACTATATTTCAAAATACAATGGGGGGAATTTATCAAAGCACCTACCACAGTTTTAGCCTCTTAGATCATTTTTTTTAATGTGCAAATCTGTCTTTCAACATGTGCCCCTATTTTCACCTGAGCTTGCACTACTTTTCCAACTGCATGTGCTTTGCACCTGTTTTCTTCAGAGCTTGCACTACTTTTTCAACTGCATGTTTTTTGCACGTGTTTTGCAACTGTTTTCTTCAGAGCTTGCACTACTTTTTCAGTTGCATGTTTTTTGCACGTGTTTTCATCTGCACTTTCTGGGGCTGTCTGAAACTGGAGCATCACCTAAGAAAACAATCACAACTTGAGAAGTCCCCATGACCACTTCTTCAAGATGGGACAGTTAAGCCTTTTGCCTGGAGTTACAAGTCTTCTTTCCTGGAGTCTATTAAACCTCATTTATCGACAACATTACCCTAGCATCATAAATCTGGTGCAAATATATTCCGTGCAAGTTCAAACACTCGCATTTGCTATGATAAATTCCCCCCAATATGTGCACGGATACACCCTAAAGTGTATCTATAACTAAACATTTCTTTTTAGTTTGGATAGTATGGAAAGGTTTAGAATCCAGTTAGGTCATAATTTATTTGCTATCTGTGAGAACTCCTCTCCTTGTCCTGGTGTCCACTGTCACAGGGACAGAAAGTGATAAGAAATCAGAAATATTACACTTGTCACGAAATAGGAATGGAGAAAAGATGACGCTGACAATTTCCAGATTAATTTCTCTCACTTTGGAGAGATTTCTTTTGACTTTCTGTTGTGTTTCCAGGACAGGAAGGGAAATATATCTACTGGAGCACATATAGCAAATAAAAAACTCTTTCAGAGGTTGTCACCCTTCCTTACTTAATCCTAAAATGAATCCAAAAAAAACCTAATAATTGTGCTTTTATGTGCTTTTGAGTGGAGGTCAAAAGATAATTTTCTGTGAATGTCCTGGTATTCTTGAAAACATAAAAAAAAAAAAAAAAATACCAAGTATCTTAATAATGAACAAGATAGAAAAGGTAATTACTTATATGCATTTCATATGCCTAGGTGTGAATAAGCCCTAACAATAAATTAATAGGACTCCAGTGTATGATACTTAATTATTATACAGCCTTAAAGAAGAACCCTGAACCCATTAAAAAGCAGGATAGCGTTTCCATCTGAGGAGCCACCATGATTGCACAATATAAGTTAGTTTCTTGTAATGAAAAAGCTGTGAATATGCTTCAAGAGTAATTAAATTTGAACTCCAGACAGATATAAATGACACGGATAAGTTCAGCTCTGTGTTATTAATACCTACTTAAAAGAGAACTATGGGGTAAATGTTTTTCCCATAGCTCTCTTAAGGGTCATGGGATGACATATACTAGGATCCTCCCATGACCAGTGGTGTATTTTGGTTTTGTGCTGCCCTAGGCACGACTAAACTCGGGCACCCCCCTCAATCTAAAGAATACATTGCAGTCCCCAGCCTGCTTCTGGGACATCCCGCCATCAGATCACATGCTATGTCCAGCCCAGAGCCACCCCGCTGCTTCTCCTCCACCTCCTGTACATAGCCAGCTGGACCACAACTCATTGGGCCCTCCCCTCCACCAGGTAGCTCTCTAATTAGACAACCGCTCTTAGGGCCTTATGGCCACCTAATTTGCCTCACTAGGCAGTCGTCGCTGCCTGATTCTGCCGTCCAGCCTCGCCCCACCTGCAAGTTTGGCCCTGTCCGCGTAATTGGTTTGGGGTGGTGTTTTCTGCTGCCCCCCTGGAAAGTGCCGCCCTAGGCAAATGCCTAGTTTGTCTTGCAGTAGATACACCCCTGCCCGTGACCCAAAGCTCAGTATATCGCGAGCTACAGTTTGCGGTATACTGAGACCGCCGCAGCTGGGACGGATCCCGACATTACTGTCAAGATCCACCCAGCTGTGTGAGTGACAGCTGGCTCTGCCTATCTAGAGGCAGAGCCAACTGTTCACGCCCACTCCCCCATCCATTCCTCCAGTCAGCCCTGGGGGGGAATCCCTGCAGGGAGCCGAGACTGAAAGTCACAGCTCTCTGCAGGGAGATGATTGAGAAGTGAGCGAGCGACGGTATGTGTTCGCTCACTTCCCGATCTATTGATCCGACGTGTGACAGTTTCATTGTCACACGTCGGCTCGAACTATGAGGATGAGTGAAAATCACTCGCCTCATAGTTCTCCTTTAAATGCGTTTTTTTTATTGCAAGCAATACAAGTTAATTCTGATAGGTAAGACGGGGAGGGACAAGACCTGTAAATATTACTGAACTGCAGAAGAGATAAATCAGGTCTTCTTTCCTGTGTTTGATTTGCTTATTTAGTAGTTTCCCTAAAGTTCAGTTTTTAGACCCTCACAGAATATGTCTCTGTAAATAATATTGATAAAGTTCTTTTTAAAAAAATGTCAATTAGTTTAAACTTACATAGCTAAGGCAGATGAGTGGACCCAAAAAAAAGAGCTACATTTCAAAGTTCTGCACATATAGAAGCAGCTAGAGACTATATATAGATAGAGATTTTTTTTTTTTTAAATAGAATACTGTCAAAATATTTCTAGATATGTGTGGTGTGCAAAGATAACCTGTCAGGATATAAATATGAAAGATGCTTTTACTGAGTGACATTTCAAGTGCTGGGATTATTTACTGGCTGCATGCTTGTGCCACGTCAGTCACTCTCTACACGGTGTAGGATGTGAATGACGGGCCCAGAGCTTCAAAATCAAGTCAGCTATTACAGTCCCATTTTTTCATTCTAATCGAGTTCTTCTTTAATTAAGATTGTTCTTCATATCATTTATGTCATCCTTGTCCAAATGTGTAGCCAAAAGAAAAGTCCACTATATTTTCCCAAGGCGTTTTACGGATGGAAATCAGATTAACATTGTCTTAATGATTTTGTATTATTACCTTGTTTTATAGCATGCACAAGTAAAGCAAGCATGTTTATTAAGCAATATTGATGCAAAATGCTGCAAATCAGGCCACATGACAGATGGGTATTAGTAACTTGCTAGAAAGGTAAATATTGGATCAGGGCAGAGATGCACGTGTGATTTTGTATACATCTGAGGGGTGTAAAGGCAAAACCAGTGACTGGAATGGTTAATGGATGACGATGTACCTGTTCCAAGGCCGCTAGGTTGGTACGGAGGGCATCGTTCTCTGACAGAATGTTGTCCACCTGCTCCTGGCTCTCCGCACTCTGCCATGCTACCTATATAGGATTGGGTGGCAGGAGCACAGAGGAGCAGGGATAATAACAGGTCACATGACAGGAAGAGAGAAGCCAGAGAGAGCACAGAGTTTAATAACCGAAGCAGAACAAGACAGTAAAAGCTAAAGCAACTTTAACCAGAGGATGACATACTTGTTCCTGAAGTCCTTGCAGGGCCCGTTCATGGTCTTGCTTGTGGCTCTGGATCTGTTCATTCAGCTCAACACAATTCTGCCAAGACAGAACATATGATAAAGATCAAAAAAGGGAAAGGGTAATACAAACTGTCAGCAATAAGAGCTGTCTGCGTAACCCTCAGCAACCAATCACATTTAAGGGACGTGCAATGCCTCACCTGCCATTATGGAAGAAAAAGCTGTCAGCTTCAAGTCTGAAGCTGACAGCTTTTTCTCCATTCAGACTTGTTTCTTACAGTTTACGCAGTGGGGAAAGCCTCCCTGGTGTGTAGCCTGTCATGTTAATTATAGGCGGTGCTTCATCCGGCTTTTGACAGCTATGTTAGGTTACACAGCAGCAGGGAAGCCGGCTGCTGTGTGTAACCTAACTCAGTTAGGCCAGCGCTTCAACAGCCTCTGACTTGGAGCCAGGGACTTGAGCTCTGTGGATGTTTTGGACCAATGGCAAAGCGCCATTGGCCCAAGCCATCCAATCAACAAAAAACAAACAAACTATAGATGGCATCCATATAGATGCCTCATCATGGACAAGCAAATAAGGGACAGGGTTCCTCCCTCCCTCCCTCCTCCATGCATAGCTTGGTTACCGGGCCTGAAACAGGCCAGGGGGTGCCTCACCTGCCATGGACCTCACATCTTTCAGAACAGGCACATTGTAATATATACTGTGGAGGCTGCAGTTGTGCTCTATTTTCTGCCTGCTATGAATCTGTGAATGTCTGTCTGTTTTTTGTATATTTGGCTAGATTTGGGCTGTAAGACTGCAGTATAGCCAAATGGCCATCACTATTGCCAGAGAATACTATTAAGTGTGCAATATAAGCTGGGTGCTGCAAAGGAACACTAATGATTAGTAAATTGGGAGCCCCCATTAATGTTTTGCTATAAAAAAGAAAAGGAAATTCCCAGTGCGCTGTTTCTGATGATAAACTGCCAAAAATGCAGTGAATGAGCTGCATACCCATTAACTTGCAGGACTAATGTAAACATTGAGCTGTACCCTGCCGGACTAGGATTTTTTATTATTTTCTAGAGGGTCAAGAGAAAAATTAGATAAACCCAGAGGTAAACTAGAAATCTCTTTTCCCAACCTTTATTACAAAACCTTAATACAAGGCATTGTTGCTGATAGTATATCAACATACATTACTATAACTACAACTAAGTAATAATAATAATAGTTTTCAGCAGCTGATGAAATGCTAAGTATTTAACCTTCCAGCAGACACTTACCTGATGAGCACCTTGCAGATCCTGCTGGAGTTTCTGGTTTTTTATTGTCAATGCTTTAAATTCTTCCTCTTTCCTCTGCTGAATCTCCTCAATTTTTGTCCTTGTTTGAAAGCAGGATAAAGTCAATAGGTTGCCACAGTGATCTGCTGATCCAGGGATACAAGTAAATCACCACTCACCTGCTGTCATTGTACAGAGCCTCCTTATCAGTCTGCAGCCGCAAATAACTGTTATTGAGAGAGGTAGAGGACATAAATGAGTGGGCCTCCAATACACGGAGTTCATTTGCATATAGAGCACCAGCAGGACGAGACTGAAAATCTCTCTCCTGGCTGTCTCCTCACTCTCTCTCCTGGCTGTCTCTCCTCTCTCTCCTTGCTCTCTCCTCACTCTCTCTCCTGACTGTCTCTCCTTCCTCTCTCTCCTGACTGTCTCTCCTTCCTCTCTCTCCTGGCTGTCTCTCCTTCCTCTCTCTCCTGGCTGTCTCTCCTTCCTCTCTCTCCTGGCTGTCTCTCCTTCCTCTCTCTCCTGGCTGTCTCTCCTTCCTCTCTATACTGGCTGTCTCTCCTCGCTCTCTCTCATGGCTGTC